TGCTATGATCAAGCGGGCCTGATCACATGCTATGATCAAGCGGGCCTTAAAGAATTAGTTTGATGAGACAGAACCTCTTAAAAATATGATTTTTAACATAGTACAAATTTTGATGTTCTCACATTCTTCTTGGCTAGAAACTATCATTTTAGCCGGGCAGTAGTGGTGCATGCTATTAATCCCAGCACTTGGGAGGCAGAGGCAGGTGGATCTCTGTGAGTTCAAGGTCAGCCTGGTCTACAGAGTGAGATCCAGGACAGCCAAAATTACACACAGAGAAACCCTGTCTTGAAAAACCAAAAAAGGAGGAGGAGGAAGAAGAAAGGAAATTATTATTTCTCTTAGTACTTTGGTACTTTTCTCTCTTTGAAGATTTTTAAAATAATTTTCAAAGATTTATTTATTTATTATTTATACAATGTTCTGCCTGCATGAATGCCTGCATGCCAGAAGAGGGCATCAGATCTCATTATAGATCCCTGTGAGCCACCATGTGGTTTTGGGGAATTGAACTCAGGACCTCTGCAAAAGCAGCCAGTACTCTTAACCTCTGAACCATCTCTCCAGCCCCCAAATATTTATTTTAAGAATGCTTTATTTATTTGTGTGTATTTGTGTGTATGCACAGAGGTAAAAGGGTGTCAGAGCCCTTGAATCTGGCAAAAGGGTGCCAGAGGCATTGTGGGACTTCCAGCTTATTACATGGATGATGGTTACCACAGAAAACACTATTCTTCACTTTTTTTGACTATAAAGAACAAGTTTTTTTTACAGCGTGTGATAGCACATGCTTGTCATTATAGGTGAGAGGATCTAGGAGTTGAGGTCTTTATTAACTACAGAGAGCATAGCAGAGATACGCTCAAAATACATACATGTGTGACACTGTCACAATAAAGGCAATTATTATGTATAATTAATATATTAAAAACATTCAAAAAGAATATTTAAAATTTGCTCCCTAGCAACTTAAAAATATCTATTTTACGTGTATCTGAGGGGCCCTGAGTACAGGTTTGTGCGTTATGTGCATGCAGTACCCAGGGAGACCAGAAAAAGAAGTCAGACTCCCTGACATTAGAATTCCAGTTGTGAGTTGCCATGTGGGTGGTGGGCTGCAAACTCAGGCCTTCTGGAAGAACAGCCAGTGCTTTTAACCCCTGACCCTCCTAGGCCCCATAGCAATTGTTAAATAGACAATACTAATTTATTCACTACAGATGTGATAAACAATGGATTTGTAAGAAAAAAGCCCTTCCTCCTGTTTGGAATTCTGCACCATTCCCTCTGTGCTTTCCCCTATGATCTGTAGCCCCCACCCTATGCCGTCCCTGTGTGCTCCGTGATTTTATCGTAAAGAGGGCCTTCTGTGTGGCAGGCTGGTCCCTACATTGTTATGCAGCTGTGGGTGACCTTGGCCTTCCTTCCCCTCCGGAGTACTGGCTACACAGGTGCGCATCACATGACCGCCTTATGTAGTCGTGGGGACTGAACCCGGGGCTTTGGGCAGCTAGGCAAGCACTCTACCAGCAGCCCCACATGCCCAGGCCGCACTGCATGCTCCTCCTGTGTGCTGAGCCCACTTCATTCAGCATGATGTTCTTGAGTCTCTCATGACATCACAGACGAGTTTCCCTCCACTTTAAGTCTGAATGGTGTTGCGGACAGTTTTGGGCAGCTCCCATAACTTGGTTATTGTGACTTGCGCTGAACAAATATGCGAGTACAGACATTTGACAAACTGATTTCAAACCTCAGAAGTAGGATTACTGTATCCTGTATTACTGTATCCTATTCTATATGATTTATTGAGAAAAAAAGCTTTCCTCAATGGAAGCATTTATTCATATTCCCACAACAGTGTATATTCTCTCTCTCTCAATCAATACATCTCACGTTCTATCTTTTTGATAAAAGCCACATATGTAAGATACCTTCTTAGAGTTGTTTCAACAAAAAAAAAAAAAGATTTATTTATTATGTACAGTGCATGTGTGCCTGCACTCCAGAAGAGGGCACCAGATCTCATCTTGGATGGTTGTGAGCCACCATGTGGATGCTGGGAATTGAACTCAGGACCTTTGGAAGGGCAGCCAGCGCTCTTAACCTCTGTGCTATCTCTAAAGCCTGAGTTTTAATCATTTCCCAATGCTTAGTAATGTTGAACATTTTATATATGTATTGGCCATTTGCGGTTTTGTTTTTGTTTTTGTTTTTTTAATGTCGCTGGGTACGGTGTTGCATCCCTTTAATCCTAGTACTTAGGAGGCAGAGGCAGGTGGATCTCTGTGAGTTCCAGGCCAGTCTGGTCTATACTGCATGTTCCAAACAGGCATGACTACAAAGAGAGACCTTGTCTCAAAAAACAAACAAACAACAAATTGACACACACACACTAAAAAACAAGTCAGGCATTATTTATTGTTCGTTTTCATTCTCCTTTTAGGAGCCTTGGTCACGCTATGTAACCTGGGCTGAGCTAGCCTCTTCATCCTTTGCTTCAGAGTCTTGAGTGCTAGGATTACAGGCATACACCGTGACATCTGTCTTCCTGTCTGTTTTTTCAGTAGGATTTTTGTTTTCTTGCAGCTACATTCTTCTTAGTAGATATATGGTTTGCAAATATTTCCTCCCAACCCAAAGGCTGTCTTCACATCACTAACTGCATCCCACTAGTGTACAGTTTGTTATCTTCCACTTTGGTATTTTAAAATTTCTTGATGATGGCGTGCATATGTGTGGGGCTGTTTCAATACTCAGAAACATCACAGCAATAGTGGTTTTCTCCAGTAGACTGATGTAAAGCTGCTGTCAAACCAGGTAAGAGTGCATTTATGCATCTATCACTTCAGGACTGTTCGAACACTGACACACTCTCCTCCAAATGGCCATGACTCCTGGGTCATAACGCCACGGTGAGCCCTGGTCATATTTACCTCATATTCTTTGATAAGAATATACAAAATTTAACCAGGTATGGAGGCACACATCTTTAATCCCAACATTTGGAAAGCAGAGGCAGGTGGATCTCTGGAGTATGAAGCTAGCCTGGTCTACAGAGCAAGTTCCAGGACATCCAGGGCTACAAAGAAAAACTGGCTGCCTTTCCAGAGGTCCTGAGTTCAATTTCCAGCAACTATGTGGTGGCTCACAGCCATCTATAACGTGATCTGATGCCTTTTTCTGGCATGCAGGTGTACATGAAGAGCACACACAGACATAAAATACATAAATAAAGGAATCTTAAAAACAAACAAACAAACAAACAAACAGGGGCTGGAGAGATGGCTTAGTGGTTAAGAACACTGGCTGCTCTTCCAGAAGTCCTGAGTTCAATTCCCAGTACCCACATGGTAGCTCACAGCCATCTATAATGAGATCTGGTGCCCTCTTCCAGCATGCAGGTAGAACACTGGATACATAATAAATAAATCTTTAAAAAAATAAACAAAGAAAGAAACAAACACAGCCTGTGCTCTTAAACACTGACCACAGCTCTAGCCTAGCCATGGCTTCTTTTACTTTTCTGTTCAAATACTTTTGTGTGTGGTGTGTCTACACACACTCCTATGTGTGCATACGTATGTGCAAGGCAGAGGTCAGTGTCAGGTATGCCCTTGAACATTCTCACCTTATCTTTAAAATTACACAGACTTATTTATTTATTTATTTATCTATTGTGTGTGTGCGCGTGTGCCTGCAAGCATGCTTACTGAGATTGGAGCTAATACACCGTGTTAGTATAGCTGACCAATCCCCTGACCTCTAGAGATCTGCCCACTCTTCCGCCAAATTCTAGGGTCACAGACAAGCACCAGTTGTTCCTGGCTTTTTTTCCCCTATGGGGTGCTAGGGACCTGAATGATGATCCTCATGTTTGTGTGGCAGGACCTTTTTTATTTTAAAAGATGTGTTATTTATTATGTATTCAGTGTTCTGCCTGCATGTACACCTGCATGCCAGAAGAGGGCACCAGATCTCATTACAGATGGCTGTGAGCCACCATGTGGTTGCTGGGAATTGAACTCAGGACTTCTGGAAGAGCAGCCAGTGCTCTTAACCTCTGAGCCATCTCTCCAGGCCCCGTGGCAGGTACTTTTACACTCCAAGCCAACTTCCTGGCTCTCAAATAACCGAATAAAGTTGGTTTTCCCTAGGCACAAGCACCTTTCATCTCATCCTTCAAAGCTGCGGGCTTGGTGGGGACCACAACATGCTCCTCCAGAATTCTGTTTCCTCCCCTCTGTCTTGGCTTGTTGCTGTCTTACTCTGTCATCACACGTTTTCCATTATGGACTGAAATTTAAGTACACATTCACAAACACTAGTGACCAGAAAAGAAGAGCCGTGATGAGAAACGAGACGTGAAGGTCAGTGATACTCACAGCAACACGTGGCGTCACTAGGAGATACACAGGGTGGCGGACTATCTTGTCGTCTCTCACGTTCCACAGTCTCTCCACTTTTCGAACCACTTTATCACTCCACTGGTACAAGCCGAGACTGTAATTGCAGAATAAGAAGACAGTCGCTTTTGGCCACTTACAACTTTAAATGTAAAAGCGCCTAGGAATATCAACATGACACGAAAATACTTGAGTTTCTTATGTGTCATATCCATGAAATGTTCTTATAAGCATTTTAGTTTCTTTCTTGAGATGGGCTCTCACTGGGTGGCCCTAGCTGGCCTGGTATTCACTGTGTAGAGCAGGCTGGCCTCGGACTCACAGAGCTCCACCTGCCTCTGTCTCCCTGAGTGCTGGGATTACAGGTGTGCGTCCCCACGCCCGGCTTCATGATGGGTTTCTAGCAGTCTTTTGGAGGAAAAGAGGCAGAGGCTTATGGAGACAGAAGGACTTGTTCAAGCTTACACAATAATCCCGAGCTGGGACAAGCATGAATTAACTTTGACTTCCCAGAGATGCAGCACTCGGCCACTGAGCTGTACCCAGCCTTCCCTGGCTTCTTTGGAGAAATTTAAAAAAGAAAAGAAGAAAGATAAGGAACCAAAGCAGAGTGAGACCCACGCACATAAGGAAACTGGAAAAATATACTGCCATTTTAATGAAACAATGATTTAATCGCTATCCACTGAAACTAGTTATCCATTAAGGAAAAGGTTAAATTCTTGTTTTAAGTCATCTACAAAGTTAAATTCTAGCGAATTCTCAGGAAAACGGCACAGTAAAGGTCTCTGGAAATTCTGGTGCAAATTCAATGAGAGTTGATTTTCAACTTTTTCAGAGCCTTGGAAATAAGCAAAGAGCCGCATCAAGCTGAGAAGCATTTATTCTGGGAGTTGGATAGTTTCATGAAGAACTGCCAGCCCTGTGGGTTCTCATACCCTGTCTAAAATTTCAAGGCTGCTGTGAAAACCAATATCCCATGATGGTAGTAGCAAAAGGGGTTTTTAAAAATGCCTGATTGGACTATGCAAGCCCAAGAAAACGCTGCTGAGATTCAAGGACACAAATAAGTGGGAAGCAAAATCATTGAAAAGCTGTGCTCCACAGCAAGTTCTCAGAAGAGGGCCATAGCCGCGATGGTAACATCAGACAAAAGAGATGCGAGGCCAAGTGTGGATAGTGACAAGACTATCCAGCAAGGACAGGAGCGCTAACTGACTTACAGAAGAACCCCAAAACATGTACATCAAAACTGAAGTGCCAGGCGAGGGGTGCAGCTTGGTACAGAGCTGGAGCTGTGTTTGGTCCTCAGCATCGGGTATACTAGCTGTGGGGAAACACCTGTCAGAGGGAAGTCAAGGTCATCCTTAGCTACATGTAAGTTCGAGGTTAGCCTGTCTTACTGGGCTGTATCTCTGGGGAATAACCAGTTCCTTTTATAGCATCTGTTTATCTGCTTCCAATTTGAGAAGTTTTTTTTTTTTTTTTTTTTTTTTTTTTTAAAGAGACACCTTATTTTGGACTGTGATTTAAAAACGGATATAGTTAGCTTGGGCAATGGTGGCGCACGCCTTTAGTCCCAGTACTTGGGAGGCAGAGGCAGGAGGATCTCTGAGTTTGAGGCCGGCCTGGTCTACAGAGTGAGTTCTAGGACAGCCAGGGCTACAGAGAAACGCCGTGTGTGTGTGTGGTGGCGGCGGCGGTGAATGCAGACCACTGTGGGGGGAATGTCATGGCAGCAGGAGCGTGAGGCAATTGGTCACACGCATTCTGGGGAGCCAGACTGACCCGGACTTCCTCAGAGGCCCTGGTGAAAGGACAAAGGGAACTTCAGTTCTGTGCCCTTGTTCGGGAGTGGACTTGGCAAGGCCAGTCCAGGACGAAAGCCAGTGCCTCCTAGAGTGAAGGCTGCCATTTCTGGGGAGACAACTCTCCCCCGGGAAGTGGTTATCAGTCCTTAGGCAGCCGCCTGAGGCAGTCCGTGTTCTTTGTTGCCGCTGGCTCACCTGGCTCTCTGCTCATCTCGGCCCTTCCCCCACAGATGCTGTACTTCTTAGTGAAGTTGTCTGGATCAGCCATCAGCTTACGAAGGACCTCCTGGCCCCAGTCATCACTTTTGTCCTCCACCCAAAACCCTGCTATTCAGTACTCTTATTACTCATGGGTTGGGGTCACTGCATTCATTCATTTGATTTTTATTTACTTATCTTTGGAAGATGGTGTTTAAACACAATGAACAAAGCCAGTAAGAAAATAGTTTTTAGCTCATTAATCAACCAAAATCCTTCAAGGGTAACAGTTTTTCTTAGCCCTCCTCCTCACCTCCCTTTCATTTTTGTCCATTTTTTATTTTTTTAAACCAAACAAACAGAGTCTCGTGTAGTACAGGCTGGCCTTAAGTTTGCAATGTAGCAGAGTTTGGCCTTGAACTCCTTCATCTACTGCCTCGGCCTTACACATTCTGGGATTCCAGGTACAAACCACCAAGCCCAGCTAAAATGGTTTCTCCAAACAGGCTAGAACCTAATCCAGTTTTGCGTGGCTAACAATTGAATTTATTCCTCCAGTATCTCCATTTATGCTGGAAGAGTTCAAAAAACACCAGCTTCCCTTGAGTCCTCACATACATCATTCTCCCACTCCACAGATCATGCTAACCTGGTCATTTCCATTTCCATCAATCTTCTCAAAGACCAGGCTAACAAATAAAAAGCACAGTCCAGGAAAAACATCCACTTAGGCATTAATGTTTTGTTTCTTGGTTGTGCACCCTGCAGCCCCTTTTGGTTCTTTGAGGTGAGGTCTCATGTAGGCCTCTCCTGAACTGACTGTGCAGCTGACGATGGCCTTGAACTTCTGAGCTTCCTGCCTCCAGCACCCAGGTGATGAAATTACAAGTCCCCACCCCTGCTTAGAATTTTGTACTTTATAATTACTCTAAAAATATTACAAACAAACAACTACATACTAACCAGTGTGAACTATTTCACTGGAGACCTACTTATTGGTATGTGCACGTGTGTACGTATGTACTATGTGTTACGTTAGGCTTGTACGGCATGAGCGATCCCTGCTGAGCCATCTTGCCAGTCCCGATGAATTATTAATGCTTACCCCATGTTACTACCCTGAGAAACCTACAGAACAGTCAGCATCCCTGACACTGCCCGACCTGTGGCTTCTGTATGGCAGGCGGCAGACTGTTCCCTAAAGCAAAGCCATTTATCTTTTATGAACACCTCCACATAAACAGGCTATTTGACTTAGTCTGCTTCACGCTATACCTGAGAAATCCATCCACGTTTCTTCAACACAGCAAAGGTATGTGGTGTTTTGTTTTGTTTTTTTGCTGGTGCTGAACCTATGACCTCACATTCGCGTGTTCTACTACTGATCCACACCCCAGCCAATAGTGTGGGTTTTTTTTTTTTTTTAGTATTATGCAGTTTTCAGTTTTATGAACATATATATTATAATTTGTTTATTTAACCTAGTCTTGATAGATTTTGAGATGGTTTATATGATTTGGCTGTTGATGATAAAACTGTCGTTGGACAGAGGTCGTGCATGCCTTTAACCCTAGCACTTGGGAAGCAGAAGCAGGTGGATCTCTGAGTTCAACACCGGCCTGGTCTACAGAGGGAGTTCCAGGACAGCCAGGGTTACACAGAGAAACACTGTCTTGAAAAAACAAAACTAAAACTAAAAATTGTCTTAGTATCTATAGCTCCCTTAGGTGGCAACGAAGACACTGCCATTGACTGCAGCAAATGCTGTGGTTCTCAGGCTAAAGTCCGAGTCCTAAAAGAGAAGAACGAGAATGAAAACGGCAAATACCTATAGTTGAAAGGCGGGAGGCCATCTGCAGACCTTGAAGTCAGGGGGTTTCCATCTTGATCACGGTAGAAGGCAAAGAGCCCAGCAGAGAAACCCTGGAAGAAAGAATTTAAAGCGTCTTACAGGAGGATGCTAAGTCCAAGCAGACATAGTAGCACCTGCCATCAAGGAGGCGCTGTTGATATGTCACAAGAGTGCCCCGCAGCTTCCACTCAATAGCAAGGAAGGGAGCTTTAGCTACAGTTTAAAACTCCGAACAACAACGTTTTAAGAGCATTTCTGGTTTTACTCACACGCATGTATCTGTGAGAATGAGAGTGTATCTATATATGTGGACGCTCTCAGGAGCCGTAAGAGAGTACTCGGTGCCCTGGACCTAGAGTGAGGGGCGGCTGTGATCTGCCCCTCATGGGTCTTAGCAACTAAGTCAGATCTTGTGAAGGAGCAGTTCGTGTTCTCGGCTGGTCAGCTCTCTAGCCCACCAATGTAATTTTTTTTTTTTAATTTGGTTTTCAAGACAGGGTTTCTCTGTGTATCCCTGGCTGTCCTGTGACTCCCTCTGTAGAGGAGGTTGGCCTCAAACTGACAGAGATCCACTCTGCTTTGAGTGCTTGGATTAAAGGCATGTGCCACCTCTGCCTGGTTGATATAAATGTTTTTTTTTTTTTTCTTCATCTTCTTCATTTAGAAATTAATTAATTTTTATTAATTAAAATTTATTAATTTTATATCCCAGCTTTATCCCTCTCCCTCATCTTCTCCCATTTCCACCCTCCCTCCCTCATCTCCTCCCATGCCCACCTCCCCCAGTCCACTGATAGGGGAGGTCCTCCTCTCCTTCCCTCTGACCCTAGTCTATCAGGTTTCATCAGGACTGGCTGCATTGTCTTCCTCTGTGGCCTGATAGGGCTGCTGCCCCCTCTGATGTAAATGTTTTTAATACAAGATTTTCTAAAGTACCTTATATATTTTAAATTTGTTTTCAGGCTAAATACTATGTATGTCAATGCTATGTCTCATGATGCCTCCAGGCACACACTATAGAGCATGAAGACTTGTACTTTTTAATTCACCTGTGTGGTTTTACAGATATTTTGGTATTTTTTTCTTGTTGGAGACCCTATTAGATACCATTTCCAAATGTGGGAAAAAAATTTAAAATATAAAACTAGCACAGTGAATTGCAGGACCAACCCCCTACCACATCAGTGGCCTTTATTTATAAATATCAGATTTGAAGAGAGGAAAACTTAAGAAAAAGTTATTATCTAAGGCACCATAAACATGACAAGGATATTTTTGGGCTACCTTCTTCAGCCAAATTTACAAAGTGCCAAAATTGCAGCCAGGTAACGCTGCTATTGAAATTATCAACAGTACTGAATGGTGTCGGGAGCAGAGGGATCAAGATTACTCTTTCCAGGACCTACAAAAGCTCAAAGTCTGAGCCTCAAATTGGCATCATGTTCACATACCTGTATCCCCACTTCCGTGTCAGGGGTACTCAGCTCCGCATGGAGCTCAGCTGCTAGAGCCGCTGGCCAGCCCTGCACACGATGGCTGCGGCGGCACATGCTTGTAACCAGGGCCTCAAACTTGCAGCAATCCTCCTGCCTTAGCATCTCAAATGCTAGAATTACAGGCCTGAGCCATCATATCTAGCTCCAAGATGCTTCTCTTCACAAGTTTAGTCGCCTTACTTATCCAGTGGGAATGACTGTTTAATTATAAATCATACCAGATAGCAAAACTCAACCTACCCTGATCCTGACCATTAAAAACTCTTCTTGGCAGACACATAATCAGGTTTTACTGAACACAAACCTAAGAATTCACATATCACTTAAAACCTGTATTAAAGTGACTAACTATGCAACAAATCAAAGGCCTGAAGGAAGGGACAGAAGTTAACAGCATTTACCAGGGCGTGAATGATCTCATGTTTCACTGTGGACAGCATCCCAATAAACTCTTGCGGCTGGGTGGAGATCATATTTGGACACAGGTTAGCATATCCTGCTATCGGCCTGTTAAAATAAACATGACACTTTTCACTATATTCCAGTGATACTTAAAGCATTTGCTAACCTATCTTTCCCTATGAAAGACAGCTCAAGGACATTGTTTACTAGCAAATATAATTTTATAGCTAATTCTTGTTTTGTTTTGTTTTTTTTTTCCCTTTCAAGACATTTTGCTTTCCAATGGCCTGAAAAAGCAATATCTGTTTTTCTGGAGGGGGGATGGGGGCTTTCAAGCGTTCAACACCCTGAGTAATCACCACTGTGCAACTGGCTGTCTTTCAAAGCTGTGGCATACAGATAATGTGAAGGAACCCCAACTGTGTCCTCTATCGTCACTCTAACAGTTTACTGTGGAAATACCACAGATCTCATTGTTATAATAAACATTATACTTACAATGAATATTTGTCCTACTTAAATAATAAACTATTATTTCCTGATAGCACCGGACTTAGGTACTTTGAAGAAGTATATCATTAATCAAAACATTAGCAAAGGACAGACATGGTGCCATGTGCCTATAGCCCAGAACTGGGAAGCTGGGCAAAACTGACAATTTGAAACTATCCTGAGCTACATAGCAATAAAACCCCATCTCAAAAAAAAAAAAAAAAAAACCAAACATAACCACAGTAATTTCTAAATTAAGTATGTCACGGCAGGCTTCAGCCCACTAGGAACTTGCTGTCGCTCTCTTGAGTTTGGCCTTTCAACACAGTCTAGTCCGCTGCTGCCACAATACTGAACCCTGGGCCTCACATGCTCTGGGAAACCCTCTACCACTACACAGTATACGTCTGCAACCCCTTTATGTTCCTATGTTTTTTAAAGATTATCTTTTAATACTCACAACTTTATTGCCAGATACTTGGCAGTTTGTTGACTTTTTTATGAGGGGGTGGGGAGGAATCTAGTTGTGAATTTTTATACAAATCAAGAACGAAGTTCTGCAAAACCTCAACTTGACTATATGAAACAAGCTGAAAACCTTTTTAAAAATTCTTTTACTATTTTTGATTGTTTATGTGTCTGCCTGTATGTGGGTATGTGGTGTGAGTATAGATACCCTGGAGACCAAAGAGGGTGCTCAATAACCTAGAACGGAGTTCCAGGCGCTGTGAGAAGCCTAATGTGGGGGCTAGGACCTGAACTCAGGTCCTCTGCCATAGCAGTAAGGGCTCTCAACTAATGAGCCGCCCCTCTAGCCCAAGTTAAAGGCTTTTAAAGGAGCGCTAAGAATAGCCAGGCTTAGAACCAAAACATGCTAGTTGTTACAAAAACAAAAAGAGAAAAAAAAAAAAAAAGACTCTTTAGGTAAAAATAAAGACCCCAGGCTGAACAATGTGGGCAGCTCTAGATAGCTGGGCCCAGGGCAAGCAGCAAGCTGGAGAGCTGGCTGCTGTCAGTCTTTTCGTGGTTTCTTACTGCTGGAAGACCACAGGCATTTCTCCCTCTGATGAAGACGGTAAGAATGCCAAGCCCCACCCTGCTCAGGAATGGTGCTTTTGGCTCTTCACCGTGGTTTAGGGTTCTCTGGGCCTCTGTGTGGGACACTGAAGTCGCCTGATACCAAGGCTCTGACTCTGGGTCTCATCTTGACTGTCCATTGCCGGTCCTTATCATGGTGATCCTCTTTAGCCCTCAGAGCCATCGAAGAACCACGGTCTGTAACACTGTAACTCACTGGCCTGTTGCTACCCAGCACCTTCCTTCACTTCTGCCTGCACAGTGGGTTGGAAACTGGTCGCCACAATCCATGCTCATAGGGTCTCTGTGTGTAAGCCTGTGCTATCACCAGCCTTGTTGGGCCTGGCCCTTGGGAACATTCTCAGATCCCTCATTCTTCCCTTACTCTCAGTGTTCTGATAATAATTGCACAGAGGGGCCCTGCGTCACTGTTCCATCTATAACTGCTAGGGGCTGCTGTGGAGTTCCTGCCTTGAACTGCAGCTCCACAAAGGCTTGTACATTTGCTGCCTCCACACCCTTCCAAACCAAACTCCAGGGTGTCCATGTCTGATACCATGAAGGTTCTTCCTGGCAGTCTGGTGAACAAATATCCCTTCCCTGGCATCATTCCTGTTAATAAAACCATATCTGTTTCTTTTCTTTTTTCTTTTTGTTTTTTTGAGATAGGGTTTCTCTGTGTAGCCTTGGCTGTCCTGGACAGGCTTTGTAGACCAGGCTGACCTCAAAAATCACAGAGATCCACCTACCTCTGCCTCCTGAGTGCAGGGATTAATGGCGTGCGCCACCACCACCTGGCTCCATATCCATTCTTATAATGAACCTTTCTGCTGTTCCCAAAACCTGTGTTGTGATGAACTTTCCCTGCTGATGTGAGGATGCTCAGGGCCACTTCTCCCTGCCCATTCCCATGAACTTCATGACGGTGCTGTAGCTTCTTCTAGAGCATGATGGGAACTGGGTATGATGGGATGGTGAGGTAGACCCCTAGGGTCCTCTCTCCACTTGTACAGCCAACTGGACTCTTATTTTTCTCTTTTTACATTTAAATTACTGTGCTTAAGACATCTACAAAAGGAAAAAAAATGCCCCTAATCTGTAAGCCTCACTTGCTCAAGGACAGATAACCCCCTGGAATGCTTTGAGCAGTTGCTCATGTAAGGTAACAGGCCACGTGTTCTCACTTCTGTAAACAAGGCTGATTGCCTCAACTGCACAGGCTGTGCTAGATCCCATTAGGCAGGAAGAATGTCAGCCTCTATGCTTGCCCCCATGTGATGAAGGTGGGAAGCACTCAGCCCTGTGGATTTCGCCGCTATAAGCCTGAGACTGACACAGTCTGTGGCCATTCTCTGAAAATCCCCGTACGGACCTGGCCACTGTCCATCATTCTGGCCAGTATTTACTAAAGCTTGCTGTAAATGTGGGTCAAAAATTGTGGTTGAGGTCTTAATTCTCGCCTGGTGGGATTAGCACAAGGTCTTAATGAGTTTCCTGGGCTGGCCTTAAACTAAAAGTCCCTCTGCTGCCTAGGTAGCCTTGAACTTGTGTTCCTCCTGCCTTGGCCTCCTGGATAGATGGAATCACAGGCTTGTACCATCAGGCCTTATTTAAAGGGGCTTACAGCAATGGGTCCACAGGACTTTTTTTTTGTAGGATGAATTTCCACCCCCTCCACCTCTCTTTTTCTTTCTTTATTCTGGCTCAACTCAGGGACTCACACATGCTAGACAAACACTCTACCACTAAGCTATGTTCCCAACACTTATTTATTTTTTCCATTTTGATACAGGATCTTGGTTAAGTTGCCTATGCTAAACCAGGCATGGTAGTACATGCCTGTAATTCTAGCACTTGGGAAGCAGAAGCAGGAGGAACACTTTGAGTTCAATTCTTCATGGTGAGCTTCATGGCAACATATTAAGAAGCTTTCAAAAAAAAGTTATACAGGCAACTTTCAACTTGCCTTAACTAGCCTTCCAAGCAGCCAAGACTGCAAACATGCACTTCTCCACCCACAGAGCGTCCCCTACCTGTTTATTTGACTAAAGCCTATGAATGCTCAGGCTGCAGCTAAATTTTTACTTCTTCAAAGGTCTTCCTTCCCAAAACAATTGAATGATACCCCTTGCAATTCTCTCCTTTTGTTCTATGCTACACTTTTAATGTATCACATTTAAAACCAAATGCTTCCTTGTAAGTATATTTAGCTATTATCTGTCTCCTTCTGCAATCTCTACATCCCAGGAGGAAAGTGCACAAGTTTGTTTTGTTCACCTTCTTTGTGGGGTGAGCAGGGGTTCACACACATTATTCTAGACTCAGAATAACTGACTGGGTGTGGCACAGGGGGCTTTGTAAACCTGAGAGTGGGGAGGAGGAGGAGGAGAAGGGACTCAAGGCCACCCTCAGCTATCCAGCGAGTGGGTTGCAGGCCGGGCTGGACTACAGGAGGCCGTATCTCACGTGTGTGAATGGTAGGTGGGGCGGGCAGAATTAAAGACACTGTGATGCCCGTTGTTCCTTATCAACATTCTAGAAGAAGCAAATCTTGCCCCCAGCATGACTAGCTTCGCATTCATTGGTGCAAAGACCATTTATTTATTCTTTTAGCTGTGTGCTCATATTAAATGTCAACCAGACAGTGAAGAAGCCACAGCTAACTAAAGAGCAGAACAAAACTCAAACACGCCTTCCAATCCCAGGGCTCTCATGTGTCTTGCTCCTATGCTGAATTCTCCCACCAGAAGGCGAGCAGATACAGTGCACGCTTTCAGCATGAGGAGACACAGAAATGGGATTAATTAACCTAGATTCAGTCAACCTGGGGTTTGGATTTTTATAGCTTTCCCCTACTCATCCGGGCAAGTCACCTTGATTCTAAGATATAAAGCTCAACATAGCTTTTATATTGTGGCTTAAAAACAGTATGTTTGAGTCAGACATACTAGCACATGCCCTATAACTTCATTATTTGGTAGGTGGAGACGGGGAGGAGGTTTAAGAATTCAAGGTTATTTTACTACACAGTGAATTCAAGGCCAGCCTGGACTACCTAAGTAAGACCTTCCCTCAAAAGCAACAGCAATGAGGTGAGGATGCGTTTGGGTTTCACACTGAGAAGGGATGGATTTATAAGAGTTCATCTCACTGTCTCCGTGACTGGACTTACCACCACCTGGGAGACACACTTCCGGGCATGAGTGTGTTTCCAAAGAGCCTTAACTGAGGAAGGAAAATCCACCCTCAATATGAGTGGCACTAAGCTATGGACTGTGCCTCTCTGCTTCCTGACTGCCAATGCAGTGTAATCAGCTGCCTCCTGCTTTAGAGCTCATCTCTGTCACACTTGCCCTGTGATGATAAAGTGTGCCTGGAAGTTATGAAGGAAAATGAATCCTCTTCCCTTAACTTTTTGAATTTATTTTTATTTATTTTTAGAATTATTTTTTATGTGTGTGAATGTTTTGCCTGCATGTATGTATGTATGTATTTATGTATGTATGTGTACCACATGTGTGCCTGGTGTCTGCAGAGGTCAGAAGTTATCTGATCTCCTAGAACTGAAGGTAAGATGGTTATGAACCTCCATGTGGGTGCTAGGAACTGAACCTGTGTCCTCTGCGAGAGCAACAGCTCTTAACTACTGAGGCATTTCTTTAGTCCCTACATTTTCTAATTAGATGTAGTTGTGCCAGAGTATGGGTCTGTGCATGTGAGTGCAGTACTCCCTGAGGCCAGAAGAGGGCATCAGGTCCCTTGGAAATAAAGGGTCTCAAAAGGAGTTGTGAGTCAGCCTGGTGTGGGTGCTGGGAACTGGGGTCCTTTGGGAAAGCAGTATGTGCTCACAACCACTCAGTCATCTCTCCAGCCCTCTTCACTTATTTCTGTTGGGTTCTCTGTAACAGCAGTGAGAGGAAGGAACTATTACATCACAGTGACTGACTACTTTTACAAGACAGGCTTACTTTTCATACCCTTCAGGAACTGGAAGCATACTTCTGTAATCCTAGCACTCCAAGAAGCTGAGGCAGGAGAATCACTGTAAGTTCAAGGCCAACCTGGGGCTACTTAGCAATACCCATTTCAAACAATAAATGAATAAATAAATATAAGAAAGAAAGAAAAGAAAAACAACTTTCTAAAGTCAACAAGTCTTTGGCAGATATGTAGAACCAATGGTCATGAAATGCATGTGAATTAAACACACTAACTTCTGAACTTTACACTCTAACACTTTAAGTCATGTTAGAGTTACCACTTCCCTTCACTAATGTTCTGGTATGTGACAGGCAATCCTTTGCATATGTAGTCAGTTTTTACTGACTTAACTTGTAAGACGTTAAATTGGTAGGTAATACAAATACTAGAATATTTTTATGTTCTTACAGTTTAAGGTGTTAACAGTAGTAATATTTAATGTCCAAATTGTTTCCTTAAAGAGGAATTAGCAAGACGATAAAATTCTCAATCTTGTGTGTGTGTTTTTAATCAAAAATTATTTCTCTTTAAAAAAGATTTCTTTATATATTATTTATACAGTACTCTGCCTGCATGTGTGTCTGCACTCTGGAAGAGGGCACCAGATCTCATCTTAGATGGTTGTGAGCCACCATGTGGTTGCTGAGAATTGAACTCCGGACCTTTGGAAGAACAGGCAGTGCTCTTAATTAACCTGGGAGCCATCTCTCCAGACCCCTCAAAAATCTCTCTTAACAGTAGATATTTTTTGGGGGGAGGGGGAAGCAAAGAGAGGCTGGAGAGATGGCTCAGCAGCTAAAGAGTAGTGGCTGCTCTTCCAGAAGACCCTCGTTTGAGTGGTGGCTCACAACCACCTGTGACTCCAATTTCAAGGAATCTGATGCCCTTTCCTGACATCCTTGGGCTCTACAAACATGTGGTATACATACTCTGACACACATATGTACATACAAACAATATTTTTTTTTTCTAAGAAAGAGGAAAAAGTAAAGGGAAAATTTTCACTTTCTTTCATGTAATAACATGTCTTAATCCCAGAAGTCACCTAGCAGATGCAAACTTCCTTTCACATAGAGTATTTTGGGGAGCGGCCTCAGAGGTAAGCTTACCTGTCCATTTTTGCCTCCTGCTGACAATAGGCTGCATAAGAAATGATGTTTTCGTGGCTGCATCTCTCCGTGGCCAGAGCACCAACGTAAAGAACAAAGTCTGCATCCTGGACGCCCTCTTGATCGAGCACACCCACTGCTCCACAGGGCCACTTACCCTCTCGGCAGACCCTGCAAGGCTGCACGCACACGTGAGCAGAAAAAGCAGATCAGAGGAGCTAGCTGAGGAGCGTTATCAAGATGGCTGTGAGCCACCACATGACTGCTGGGAACTGAACTCAGGTCCTTTGGAAGAACAGCCAGTGCTCTTAACCTCTGAGCCATCTCTGCAGACTACTTTAAAAAAAAAAAAAAAGACAGGGTTTCTCTGTGTAGCCTTGGCTGTCCTCAAAACTCACAGAGATCTGCCTGCCTCTGCCTTCTGAGCGCTGAGATTAAAGGTGTGCGCTGCCACCGCCCGGTTAGATTGTGTAGTTGGGATTTACACAGGTAACAGCATAGACAGCTCAGGGGAGACTCTTTGTTCTTAGAATATAACATGCAATTCCTTTCCTCTGACCCTGACTGGAGAGGCAAGGAGGTACTCAGAGCTGAGCAGCCACGGCGCAGGCAGCAGCCACCCTATGAGGACGGACAGGAAGCGAGGGTGCATTGGTGTCTCCTGATTGCTTTTGCCCACTGGGGTAAGTCTTGCTATGCAGCCCAGGCTGAAACCAAACCTGAGAGCCTCCTACGTCTACCTTCCAAGTGCTAGGACTACAGACATTCTCACCACCCCTGGCTCACTGCAGAGGGCTTTTGTTTTGTTTTTGCGTATGCACGTCTGTTCTTTTTAGATAAACAAACTAGCTAGACCTACTGACTCCCAACCTTTCTTCTTTCAGTTAAGAGCTGACACATGTCTTCCAGAGACTGATTTCCTTTGCAAGTATTGCCTAACATTCCATTTGTAGCTACACTGTAATTTCATAAACTAAATAGGTCTATTTATAGTTTCATAAAGAACACCCCTGAATACATATATACAACCACTATTATGTCTTTTTCGAAACAGAATTCTGCAATGGTGCCCCAGCTGTTCTTGAATTCATAAGCTCAAGTGATCCTCTGGTTTCAGTAAAATTGGAGGTATATGTCACTGGGCCTGGTAAGCTGCTAGTATTTTTATGGATTAAAGCCAGAACTTGGGTTGAAGCTGACAGTTTGTATTTTAGGAGACATTAAACTGTCCTTTTAAAATGCTAAAAGAAATATTCTGGAGGGGGGAAGAGTCCTCAACTCTACTGCTGCAGCAAACCCAAGCACAAATGCAGATGGACGAAAGAAAGCATCAAACGAGCTTGCAAAGCTATGGGTGAATAAGACCAGCAGCCGAGCTGGGATGGGCTGCTGGGAGAACCTGGAGCTGCAGGGTTGGGGACGTGGCTACCCCGGAGTACTTCCTAGCATGCAGGAGGCCAGGTTTACTCCAGAGCCCAGCAAACAGGCTGACGTGCCTCCGCACTTTGGCCTGGGAACCCTTGCTGGGAAAGATTCTGGATGTCTTGCTTACAGCAGAAAGCCCTGCCGAGCGAGCACGGCCGACATACCTGGAGATGCTCCTCGGGCACCGTGACGGGGCCACACTTGGTGTGCGCCGCACACTCCCCAGTGCAGTATCTGTGAGGGTCGTTTTCTTTCCGTAGGTACTGGTTTGTCGCACATTGTCTTTAGTTTATTCACGCATCGAAAGTTAGAAAGAAAGAAAGAGAATGGTTCCCAGCAGTTACAATACAGCCGTACACAGGCAGCCACTTGTGGTGGCTCAAAATAGATCTTCTCAGTAAGTCTGGTCCCCGGTTGGCGGCTGTTTGGGGAGTTTGGGGGCACTGAGGTTGCACAAACCCTTGCCATTTCAAGTGGGTTCTCTTTTCCAGCGTGGGTCCCAGATGTGAGCTCTCTGCTGCTGCCCCAGCTGCCTGCCGCCAACGACCTCTTCTTCACCACCATGGACCCTAACTCTCTGAACCATAAATCCCAAATAAGCCTTACAAAGCAAACAGCACAACCACATGGAGGCTAAACAAATGGAGGAAATGATCAGTGTCTGGTGTCACGTACCTGCTGAGTAAGATCCTTCCGGCAGGTCTCCGAACCTGAAATGTTTTCTCTAAATAAGAAATAGCTTGTGGGAAAAGTTTGTTCTAAAGAAAACAGAAAAATCTTGTTAGAATTACAGTCATGAAATAGAGCGTGTTTAAAAAAATAATCATGGAAAGAAAAAAGGAAGAAAAAGGAAAAAAAAAAAACTCCCAGGATTCTGGAATGCAGACGCCTGTCTGGGGTCACATGACAGCAAGAGAGTGAATCTAGTGGAGTCTGGAGTAGAGAGGATCAGGCAGAAACTCCCCAGCTCCAGCTCAGGCCTTAGAAAGCATAAATCTTAACTCCTGGAGACTGAGTACATTAACAAAGACGCACATTCCAACCTTACGATTCAAGCCCAAGGCTCACTTAGAGTCCAGTGTTAAGATAGCTCATGATAAGAAAATCTTATGTAGGAGCTCATTAGTCTGTGGGCCTCAGGGAGATAGCTTGACCTCCATGCGAGCCTCCACAGGTAGAGCCCGGATGAGGGCCAACAGGCTGGCTGAGCAGGTGATGGCGTGTACTCCACAACCCTGACGATCCTTGCCCATCCCAGGAACCCACAGTGGAAAGGGAGATCTAACTCTGAAGGTTGTCCCCTGACCTCTACCTGTGCCTCTCTGTGCACACAAGAGAGGGCGAGCGCACACGAGAGAGAGCCTCCAGGCATGCACGGGTGCACACCCCCCCCTCCCTTGCTGAGATGGAGTCTGTATAAAAGACTCTGGGTGGGGCCGATGAGATGGCTCAGTGGGTAGAGGCAGGCCCCAATCAAGCTTGATCCCTGATGACCTTAGAGCAACCTTGGGCGCGCTCTGGAGAGTTAGCCGCTACATAGGCACCGGCACTCACATCACACACACACATAGGAATGACATCGACAATAATGCCCCTGCCGTGTCACACTGGCACGCCAGCTAACCCTTAGGAGAGAGAACATGCCCACCCAGAGCACGGTACCCTCAATAGATCACAAAAGCTGTCCTCTGTCCACTATCCTCAGCATGCACTGTTCCCCCAAAACTTGACAGACCGAGAAAAAAAGAGATGAGAATGCTGATTTAATATCAAATTATAAAATGATCATTTGATGTCAGACACCAACAAAGTTCTGCTAAATATAAAACCACCTTTATTAAAATGAGAAATATGTTTACTACCAAAATATTTCATTCATTCATTCATTCATTCATTCATTCATTCATTCATTCATTCACAAGCCATGTATATGCTCTTCTTTTTCATGGAAGAATTAACACGTAATAACGTACTGTGCAGTGTCCACTTGACGATTATTTATTACTACATACCTTTACAAGATATCTTTTCTCAGGGAGCAACCTGAAAATGAGGAGAACGGAGGGAGGAAATGAGAAAAACATAAGAATTGCCACTCTGAAGACTGGTGACAAAGCTCGGTGGTTGGGCACGTGTCTAGCGGGCACAAGGCCCTGGGTTCAGTCTCTACGACCACACAGGAATAGTATGGCCACCCTGAGTCAGAGCACCCGGCCATCTGTCAGGATTGTATCTGTCAAGGGACCTAAAAAGTCCTATAAAGAGGCTCAAAGCTTGGGGCTGGAGAGATGGCACAGTGCTTAAGAGCACTGGCTGCTCTTCCAGAGGTCCTGAGTTCAATTCCCATCAACCACATGGTGGCTCACAACCATCTATAATGGAATCTGGGTGCCCTCTTCTGCCATGCAGGTGTACATGCAGACAGAATACTATATAATAATAAATAAATAAATCTTAAAAAAAAAAAAAAAAAAAAGCTCAGAGCCTGTCTTCCAAAGTCTTGGCTTACCTCAGCGGGTATGTGACTTTATTCTGGGACCAAGCACGGAACTGCATGATTACCTTTCATTATCTCATCCATTCAGAATGGCTAGGGCGGAGAACAACACGACTGCTCTATGAGCACTTCAGGAACTGCTCAGACTTGGAATGTCCCTGTCGCCTGGACCGCCCTCAGACAACATATAAATCAGACTATATAATCCAGCTATTGAATAACTCTGTAAACCTCCTTATTGTGGTTTATATTTGCAACTCCTCTAAGTTTAAATTTAACACTTACTGACAAGTGCTATGGCCACAGTTGAGTAAGGCCTTGTTCTCTTTAAAGTATTCATGATAAACGGATTTTAATTATATATCACAGCCTTTGCCTTTTCAGAATAAAGGCGATCTCTACTCAGTTCTATGTTCGAGTTGCGCTAGCTGTTTTCTATTCCATCTATGGATATTATGCTAGATAAGCATGAAAATATCTTTAATACTTAGACTGACAATAGAAAAAAGTCAACAGGATGAGGCAGGAAGATAATGAGTGAGTTTGAGGTCACCTTGGACAATACAATGAGGTGATGCTAGTTTGGGCAATTTAGTAAGATGTCTCAAACAAACAAACAAACAAACAAATGGCAAAGGAACAGCAAACTTACTCTTCAATACTCTGATCATAGATAGTCTTGATTCGTAAATGCCCATCAGCATCTCTCTTTACGACATGATTTGTCTTAAGATGAACCTTATTTATGACCTAGAAGAATAAAGTTTGAAAACTCTAAAAGGTTGATATGGCACTTTTATTTAACTAAAATTTAAATATAATAATGTGTGTTCATTTGAGACCTAAGCAAAATTAATGAACCACATTTTCAGTGTAATACTTCCCACAAAGTCCCTAACCTTATATTCCATATTAGCATTACTGAATCCCAAATGTTTCCCAAGAAAATGTTATCACCCGAGAGATAAGTATTTAAACTTGAGTGATGTGAGATCATTATGGTAACAGCAGCTACTGAAAAGGCTTGAATTATTTGTAGTTTGTCATATAGATTCTAGTTTTGTTGCCTCCAAGTCTTTAGAGGGTGACAAAAGGCCAAGCATGGTGGCTCACACCATTAATCCCAGCACTGAGGGGACAGGGGTAGGCAATCTCTAGGAGTTCAAGGCCAGCCTGGCTGCGTGGTGAGTTCTAAGTCACCCAGAACTACATAGTGAGTTCAAGGAAAGCCTGGGCTGCATAGTGAGTCCTGGGCCAGCCTGGGCTGAATGGTGAGTTCTAGGTCAGCCAGACCTACAGTGTGAACAGGGAGACTTTGTCTCAAAAACAAAAAGAAAATGAGACTAAAAGCGTGTGAGAGAGAAAGAGGGAGAAAGGGAGAGAGAGAGAGAGGAGGCAAATGCCATCTACCAGGTTTCTCCTGGGCTAGGGAGTTGCCAAGTACACTAGGCTGTTTGGATAGTGAGCCCCAGCAATCCTTCTGTCTCTGCTTCCCTAAAGACCAAGCTGGGCTCTAAGTCACAGAGATCCACCTGCCTCTGCCTCCCAAGTGCTGGGATTAAAATTATGTGCCACCACTGCCCAGTTTTATTTATTTTTATTTACTTTTTTACCTTTATTTATTTATTTTATTTATTTATTTGGGTTCTAGGACACCAAATTCAGGTCCTCATGCTTGACAGACAAGCACTTTACCAAATGAGCTATTACCCCTGCCCCAATAGAACTTAAGTCACTTTTTTAAAAAGAGAAAAAAAAAAAAAAAAAACTTCTTACAAAAGAGTACCTCTTTTATTTTTCCCTAACTCATTTATATAACTATTTTCCTTTTGAAAAATAAGAATTAGAAAGGCTTTGTTGGAATGACCAACTTCTCCCCCGGCACCCCCATACCAGGGTTTCCCTAGGTGGCCCTGGCTGACTTGGATCTCACTGTATAGACCAGTCTAGGCCCAAACTCACAGAGATTTGCCTGCTTTGAGTGCTGCGACTAAAGGCATGCGCCACCACCACAGCTCATGAAGCACAGAAAAAAAAAAAAAAAAGTTTTAGCTAAATTAATAGTAGTCTGAGCACTAACAATCTTGTAGCAGTGAGTAATCACTTCTATTGCTTTTTCTTATATTTAATAGTTCAGAATGTATAACAAAATGAGATTATGTATTTCATAGAGAAACTCTACTGCATGCCGCTGAGCTGACCAGGCGTGGCGAGCAGAGTCCTCCGGCGTGTACCGGGCACTCTGTTCCCCTGGCCTGCCTTCCGGCTTCCTCCTCACCCTGTCTGGGGGACAGTGTTGTGTTGCTTTTGTTTTGCTCTATTGTTGCTGCTATCTCACAATGCTGGAGGCTAACCCTGGGCTTTGGGTCATGCGCTCTGTCACTGAACTGCGCCCCCATGCTACAGTCACTAATTTAAACAGATAGCCATGTCTTCGTATGCAAGCCACCGTGGCTGGTACTTGGAGGCAAGTGGGAAAGCTACATTGCCTGGAGGTTATGAAGGACAGTTAAGTCCAGTAATTGCTAATAAACTAATCAAAGTCACAGACAGAAGACATGCGAGTCAGACTTCCAGGAACAGAATCAGGATGTGCCATGGGAAAGGTGCTATTCGAGAAAAGAGAAACAGGCAGAGTGAGTCCAGCACAGCCAGGGCTACAACACAGAGAAACCGTCTAAAAAAAAAAAAAAAAAAAAAAACAGAGAGAGACAGACAGACAGATAGACAGACAGACATGGATTTTTCTCTCTCTAACTTACATATACAATAGGCCACATACAGACTGCAGAAGCCGGAACACAAAACCCTCACTGAGGAAAGTGGACATGTGAAATGCTGGCTTCCAGAAATGGAATGGTAACTTCAGATAGAAAACACAGTATCAAATTTGGAGGACATATTTTAAACGGATACTACTTGAAGCCAAATGTGAGGTCCAGCCCTGTAATCCCAGTACTTGGGAGGTAGAGGCGGGCAGAGGGGACAGAGTGAGAGTCCCAGGCCAGCCTGGGCTACATGAGACCCTGATTCGGAAAACCAAACAACTGAAGACTACTATTTGAAGGCACAGCTTGTAAGAATCTGTTCTGGAAATGTAGGGACTGTCCCTCTGATTTAGAAGGCTAGCTCTTCCCACTCTGGTTTTGTACAGGTGGCAGAATGCAGGGCCGTACAGGCTTGACAGGTAGAAGAACTCAGGACTTTCAGCAGCACAAAGTTATGGGAAAAAGTTGCCGAGTGGGGAACCCACAGAGTCCATTAACTAGTGAAAACTTAACAGTCACGGGAGCCAGCAGAAGAATGTGGCCTGTGCTGAGAAAGCAGCAGTGAGCAGAAGTGGGTCTGAACAGAAGCGGCTCTCACGTGCTCACCCAGCAGGCAACAACAGAAAGAACCAAAGAGGGGACTGTGGCTTCAAAGAACACCAACTGAGACGAAAAGCTCACCAGAGAGAGTAAAAGAAGACCTGAGCTGGGAGTGATAACACATATCTCTAACCCCAGCACTCTGCAAACTAAGGCAGGAGGATCTCTAACTCAAGGCCAGCCTGGGCTACACTGCAAGCTCAAGGCCAGTCTGGACTACAATCTTAAAGAAGGAAGTCTGGAGACAACAAGAACATCAGATGGCATTTAGAGATGTTATCCAGTGCATCACAGAAGTCAGCCTGGGCTACACGGTGAATGCAGGCTAGCCTGTGTTACATCTGTCTCAAGAAAATAAAAAACAATCCAGCTGAAACACAGTGTCATGATAAAAGCTAAATTCCTGCATGCAGGTCCTTGGGTGCCTGAGAGATAGGAGCATGGGAATGAGGAGATCACCAGCACCTTCCAACTCATGGTGAGCCTGGGCTATATGAGACCCTGTCTCAAACAAACAAAAAAACCAAAACCAAACAAACCAAACCCCACAAAGCAAAAAGCTATAACACAATCACTTAACATTTGGGCTTACGTAGTTAAACAGCACACATAAAACATTCTTGGAAATTACCACAAAATTAGTAGGATGAAATTTCTGGGCTAGATAAAGCTTTTTGTTTGCTTGCTTTTTTTTTGTTTGTTTGTTTGTTTGTTTGTTTTTGTTTTACAAGGGTTTGTCTGTTTCTCTGCGTAGCCCTGGCTGTCCTGGAACTAGCTCCGGAGACCAGGCTGGCCTCGAACTGGGAGATTCGAGCGCTGGGGCCGAAGGTGTGCACCACCACTGGCCGGCTAGTAAAGCTTTCCTGATTCTGTCCCCGATGACTCACGGAATAGTACAGTGCGAGCGGAGCCGCCTCCGAGCGAAGGGCTCAGTGTAACACAAATGTTATCTCCAGGAATCTTATGACTAAACTACCCTGCAAGGCGGGATGAAAGCTGAGCACATCACGAGCAGAACCCGGTGAAGAGACAGAATCCAGGGCAGATAAGGCGTTCTGAGCAAATGGAAAGAGCATTCATTCTAACTGGGGTGGTTCTGGTAGGCGGACCTGAGGTCGAGAGTTGAACGGAGACCAAAAGAATTCAGACTGGAAACGAACGAGGAACAGACTTTGCAGGGTTTGGGGATGGGGGTGGAATAAAGGCAGCAAAGTGATAGATAACTAGAAAAAAGAAGCTGAACTTTGTCTCCAGCGACCTCTCAGCAGCTCCGGTTCTGCCTCCTCCCAAGCCGTCAGCTAAGCGGCCCCGGCGCGCCGCCTGGGTAAGCGGCGTCAGGATCTAGGAATCCGCGGGGATCCGTGCCAGATCCCCCGAGTCGGAAAGTGGGGAGCGGGGCAGCGGTGGGCTGGAGCGAGCGCGTCGGTTCTTCGGTGCTCGCCCAAGCTGGCGGGGCCGCGGCTCCCCCGCAAGCACCTGCAGCCCGGCGCCCGCCGCCACGCCCTCCGCGGCCCCGGCCGCCCCCCGCCCGGCCCGCTCGTCCTACCTCCGCGTCAGCAGGGACGTGGTGCCGACAGGGAGGCGAGGCGCCCAGGGAGACGGGCGCGGCCGCGGCGCCGGCCGGGAGCCCGCCCAGCACGAGCAG